AACCCCATTCAGACATTTGGGGCGTAGTTGTAAAAAAAAAAAAAAAACATGTCCGTGTTTGTGTACTCACAGGTTGTAGAGCATATCTGCCATATTTCCACGGTAATAAAGAGCATTTCTATACGCTCTCTCTGCCTCAGCCATCTTTCCCTGGTTCTTCAGGACATTACCCAGGTTACCCCAAGCTAAGAGTAACAAACAAAAGAAATTTCACTAGTATTTACTTTGGCAGTACTATCATATCTGATATTGCAAAATTCAAGCTCGCCAAACTCACCTTTAGCAGGGTTTACAGCAATGCCAGACCTGTACAGCATCTCCTCGCTCTGCCAGTCCTGGCCCATGGCACATTAAAAGAAGAAAAACACTCTTTGCATTTATACTATATACTACATCCTGCATACTGAACAGTTCTGAGTGTAAAATTGAAAAATCTTTTCTTATATAAATGGCTCTTTGGGCACAGCATGGCAATTGACAGAGTGCATACTGGGGAAGTTGAGCTCAAAGACTGGGGAAATTAGATGTCACAAATATTGATTCCTTTATTTCAAACACAACGGGTCAGAAACTTATGGACTAAAGCCACAATAGATCCTCCACTCCCACTGAGAGTGACACTTCAATCTATGCTTCAGGGTTGAACTAAATGAGCACTCTTTCATCACCTGTTTTTGTTCCCGCTCTTTTGTACTAAACTTGTATTTAAAGACCTTATCAACGGAGATGTGAAAGACAGTCACCAGACAAATAGCAATTTTCCTGCAGGAAAATATTCTTCTCTGCTTATAAAGTTAGTAACTAAAATAAAAAGAACGCATAAAAACACACTGAATAACCTCTGCATTTAGTGCAAAATCCAAACTAAAATAGTCAGGGCGTTGGAGGACGTTGATGAACTGAACTCATTATGCTGCAGAGGACAAAGGAAGTGCTAGTTTTAGCTGCTGCTAATCACGCCACTCATAACGAGGAAGGTTGTGGGTTTGCAGCCTTCTCCACTGGGACACTGTCCAAATTCAATCAGGATCTTTCAGTTTTTAACATCAAGAAAAAGGTAGGAACATCATCAACAGTAGACCTACTACAGTCTAAGTAACATCAATATATATATTAATATATAACACCTCAGACAGTTCATGCATCTAAAAGTCATTACACACCAGAAATTAACTGTATTCAAGGAAATGTGAGATCCACGGCATCATTTCACAGCTGAATTTCCTGTCACAGCAAAAATGCCGCCACATTAATCAAATTGTTGACTGTTATGAGGAAATATTCCTACTTGCACGACATTGAGACAAATGACCCGAAATATTGTGCGTGCCATCGTTGAATTATCTTAAAAGAGACGACGAAGCATTTCTCGTGAAGCTTGAAAGATTAATTTACCTTGCTAATCAGTGCTCCAAATTTTTGCCTTCCCCCCTTAAAAGTTCAATAATCAAATTAGCATTTTCAAATTTTTTTCCAAAATAAGACCGGTTGGCTGGTGGTGTGGAGATCCTGCACTAAACCAGCAGCCATGTGCTATTCAGAAAAAGGGCAGAACACATTCCAGACAATCACCAGAGCTTTATCTCATCTCCGTCCGATTAGAGAGCAAATGGGATGAAAAATTGCCCTCTATCTGCATTGTGCGCTCATATGGCCGAACCTCAAAACTAATCTACAGCGTATTGTTTTAGACTCACACCGCATTCTGCTCAAATCAAAGCAATATCATATATCAGGGGTGTTTGTAGCCTCTAGAATATCAATGAGGGCACCCTATCTGTTTTCATTACCCTGATACGCATTCATTACCGCGTGAATTTAAAGTCCAAGACGCGTGGCATTAAATATGCAAAGTCAGAGCCTCGCTGTTCAAAAACCATTTCAGAAGATCCTGTGGGATCTTTTATTGTTGACCGTTCCTTCTGCATTTAATGAGGCCCCTCTGAAGCATAGAAAGCCAATGAGCCGGTTTTACACCATGGGACTAAGAGTAAACGAGAAAGTGCTTTGATAAAGAGAAAGAGAGGAAGTGAGGGCATGGTTTCCTTTCCTCTCTACTCTTCCTCCTCATCCTCCTTTCTCTCCCCCTGTTTGCGTTCCCATGCGCTCGTGGCCATCTGGAGGGTTTGTAATCTCTCCCTGTCGCCCCTCTTGTGCGCCTCATGATTACCAACAAGAAAAGCCGGAGACATGGGCAGAGAGGCCACGATAAAGAGCCCACATGTGCAGCGGGGTTGGCATCTGTGTACAGAGTCTGGACTGGTAAGATTACCCTTGTATTATTGTCTGGAGACGGGTGGAGGAGAGCTGTAAAAATTCCTATTTATTATAATATTGATAAAAAGGGACATTTAAAGTTTAGCTTTGTATATTGTACAGAACACATCATGAGTTTAAGTGAGATAATTCCCACAGAATCATTGCACAGCTACATGGCATTTGCCATAATGCAACACTTATCATTTGTCAGTTTAATAGGGTAACCTTAACAGGACGAAACACAGTAAAATACTCCTTTTTATAAAAATGTCAATAAGTAAAAGCCATTTTGACGGTTCCTTTATTTTCCAAGACATTATTTTCAAGAACGTTTTAAGTAATACTTAAAGTACCTTAACTCCCAAATAATATAAAATATGGGATATATTATTAGCATGGTAGTACAATTTCGATACTTTGCAATTTTTCTCCTTTGCTGCCATTGATATATGGAGAAATATTTATTTTCACTGGTATAAGAACATTTTAGAGGACTTAAATTCCATTGCCATTCAGACAAGCATTTTGAAGCTTCAAGCAAAATTCAAGTTTTTTTCCGCACTGAACAACAGAAAGTGGCATTAAAAAACACACACATTGTATCAAATATATGACCAAATGTCCATGTTAAAACATTTACGCAGACTGGAGAAATAATTAAATTTGATATAATCACGGCAGAAAGTGACTTTTTCCAGCACCTGTGAAGATAATTAAAAATGTAGTTATGACGCAATAAATATTTTAAGTGCCCAAACACATTCATGCAATGTTGCACTAGTGTTATTTTAACATTTATATACTAATAGGTTTTATTAATATTTTGAATATTTTTAGAAAAATATTTTCCCAGATTTAGTTACATTTTATGTTTTTATTTATTGCTATCTAGTAATTTTAGCACTTTACATTTAACTTATATCAGTAAGTTGCCAAGGCAACAGTGCACTTTTCTTTTTTTTTATCTATATTTTTATATTTTATTTTATTTTATTTCAATTAACAAAACAAAAAAAAAAGTTAACCTTGAGTCATTACACTAAAACTTTAAAGACCAACTCATTTTCTAAGACATCAGGGTAATTTTCTTGCATTACAAAAATGCGTTTTCCAAGACAAGATTTAAGCTGAAATGCATTGAAACTAGACTCTGGATTTATATCAGTATATTTATTAAATTATATTTTATATTATAAGTTTCAGGACCTGGTTTTGTACCACCTCATTGCCCCTGTTGCATTTTTGCTTGGACTTTAGGCAGATTCACATAATGAGAATCAGATCTCACCTTCAGCACCATCATTACCGCTTGCCGGAGTCTCAGACGATGCACAACACAGAGGTCATAAACGGCTGAGATGGCCAGAACAGTCACTCCCTGCTCCTTCCACAGTAAAGCAGCCGCAGCAGCACCCAAACTCCCAGCAAGCCACAGCGCTGTCCGCCATTCAACCCTGTCCGAGTGTGCTGTGCTGGCCCTGAGAAGGCAGTACTGGGCATAACAGATCAGGGACAACAAGAAGCAAAAAGCTGCACCCACATCTGCTCGCCCCACCACCCCAGCTACTGCTTCAGTGTGTATGGGATGAGAGGCGAAGAGCAGACCCGCCAACAGGCTCCACGGTCCTCCACCCAGCAGGGGGCGACAGAATGCACTGAAGAGCGCAGTGACGCAGCAGTGCAGGCCCACATTGACCAGGTGGTAGCCCCGGGGGTCCAAGCCGCCCAGGGCATAATTGAGGCGGAAGGAGAGAGTGCAGAGGGGGCGGAAAGACTTGTGGCTGCCGCTGTGGGTGAGCAGAGTGCCCCAGAAGTCATCGTACAGGATGTTCGTCCATGGAGTGTCTGGTAGGAGGTCTTGGTTGGTTTTGATTGCTCGGCTAAAGAATATGGAAAGAAGAAAGAAAGAAAAAAGAGGTAACATAAATAGGTGCCATATTGCATAAAAAGACATTTAGAACAACATTAACACTATAAAAGTGGCATAAAATTAGTGTTTACAACCTAATTGTATTCATTGACATTTTTAATTGATTGACAGCCC